TATTTATCATAATAGTTAATTTTGTAAGTCCCCAATCAAAAATTTATTTATTTGACGACTGTAGCTTGTGATGGACATTTTAAAGTTAGAATGTTTTGATTTTTATTTTTTTTATTTAAATTATTTATTTTATTTTATTTTATTTATTTTGAATATTTTATCATAGAGTCGGCTCGAACCGTTGTCTTTAAAGAAAGGGATATAAACCTTATAAAAATGATCAAAATCACTTGACCCACAAGATCAAGTTTAATTATTAATTTTAATTAATTATTTAAAATTTATAATATTATATTTATTTATTTAATAATGTATAAAAATAATATTAAAAAATTATCGCTATATTATTAAAAACAATACACCTCTGATTTGAGGTTGGGTTCAAATTTCTTACTCTAAATTGGTACTTGTTAAAAGAAAATCAATCCTCACCGTTGAATTTGTAGATCCACCTTTCTCATCGCACGGCCTGAAATCAATTATGCAGTCGAGAAGCTTTTATGGAAGGTCTGTACTCTGTAGACCTTTCCAAATTCCTTAGTATGCTCGGTTTCGTTCCTCTACACCCCTCCCCACCCGATTTATCTTACACTCTCCTCCATGTAATGCCACGTATTAAAAAATAAAAAAAGTTCACTCCTATTTTTTAAAATTGAAGATACTTACGATAAAATATATAATTATCAGATCATGAATTTCAAACATAAAAAAATATTCACTTTATTTTAATAGTTTAAATAGTAAAACATAAATATTTAAGCAAGAAAAACATAATATTAGTAATTAAAATTGTAAAATATAAATATTTAGATGAGAGTAACTTAAAATGTGAAAACTCATCCTAGCTAAAGGTTTATATTTTGGGGTGTAATGCAGTTTGTACTAAAAAAGTTAAAAAAAAAAAATACAATTATTTACTCTTTTTATTTATTTTAATAAATTTGATTTATTTTTTAAAATTATATATATAAATTTTAAATAAAAATTTAACATATTATATAAATAATAATTAACAATTTTTTAAGTTATTTACATATTATATTAAATTTTTATTTAAAAATTATATTTAAAATTTTAAAAATCAAAATAAATTTATTAATTTTTTTTTTGGCCCCACAACAGCGGCAAAAGTGTTCTCTAACTTCTGATTTCGACGGGGCGCGAAGCCGAAGCACCAAAATCACAGATTTCTCTGCAATTTGTTTTATTTCCCAGAAAAAATTTCTCTTTCCAAACAGAAAGTTCAGCCTTCGGTCGGCCAAGAGCAGCCATTTTTTCCTTTGTCTGTTTCCGATTCCGAGGCGGAGCCTCGCCGCCTGAAATAAGCCGCTCATCAATGAAGCCGCCGCCGCCGCTGCCTTCCAAATACGTTTCGCTGAATTCTAAGTCTGTTTGTATCTTTCTCGCATCTCGCTTTAATAAAATTTTTTTCCGTCTTTAGCTTTCTCTCACGTTCTCACTGTCCAAACAGGAAGCGAGTTTCTTCGGGTTCTGGTTCTGGTTCTCGTTTTTCCTTCATGGACCCTGAAGTGATCGAGATTCCGCCTCCGATTCATCGATCATTCCGCTCTAAACAGAAACAGGTGTAGAAAAATCTTCCCTTTCATCTGCCCCATTATTTGTTTCAGCTTTTCAGTAAAGAAAAATTATCCCTTTTCTTGTATAGTTGGCCTGGCCGATCGTCCTTCGGTTTTTGAATTTTAATGAGTGAAGTTTATTTTCATTTAATATGATCGCGCGATTTTGTTTTCAAAAATTTAGATCAAAATCGGTTCTTTTGAAATCAAATTCAATTGTTTTTTTGGATTTCTGTTTAGGGTTTTAAGGGGTTTAATTTTACTCTGGTGATTTGAAGTTAATCTGAAAATATTATGGGTGATGTAATGAACTTACGAAGTTCAATTTTGCTCTGGAGTTAATTTGATATATTCGAAGCAATCGGTTCTTTTTCCAATCTGTGATCAGAAAAAGCTTGCATGCACATCTCTACATCTTAGAATAAGTTTTTCTGCTTCAAAATTTTTATGGAAAGAAAAAATAGCTTGATGATGACAATTTTAGGCTTGGAATGAATTTTGAAGGTAGAAAAGATTAGGAGGGTAGCTTTATTATGCTTGTCAGAAGATTGGGAAACTTACAAAGCTAAAGTAGTATCTGCTCTGAATGGTTGAAGGACCTAGTTGTTGAATACGGTTTCAGACTCCTTTCAAATGGAAAAAAAGTATGCCTTTATCCTTATCAATCTGGCACTTTTTGAAGGACGTGGACCTGTAATGGTCAATATAGAGGAGAAGTGTTCATCTAGATACCCCATTTAGGTTGAGTTTAAAGTTTAGATGGGGTTATTTAGCTTTCAGGAACAATAACCATTATTAGTGTCTTCGGCATTTTAAACTATTCTGTTCTAGTTCCTGTTTTGTCTACTGATTCCTCATATTAGTCTTTCTTTCTTTGAGAAGAAACACTTCTCTTTGGTTATTGTACTGTTACTATCTTTTGGCAGGCTATTATTCATGAAGTAATTGATATAGACAATGATGAAGAGTCTGCTGATGTCACAATCCTTGATGTGAAACCAAACACAAAGGACAAGGGGAAGGCATTAGAAAATAGCTCTGGTGGTTATGGTAATCTTCAAGCTAAGGTATATGATCAGTATAAACTGTTAGCTGTCATTGCCTTGTATTAGTCCCTGTTCCTTGTGCTTGTATTTAATGTAAGTGTACTCTGATGGAACCAAATCATTATTTTTTGTTTATTTATTTATTTCTTTTACTTTCAGGATTCTCTGGGATCAACAAACCAGACTGATCCTCCAAAGCATTCAGGCTTAAGGTCACATAATTTAGTTCTTGCTGATTCTCAGTTATCCTTTGATGAGGATTATATTGATCTTATGGATGTTGACGACTTGGCAATCATACAAGCTCATTTTGATAGTGTTGATCTTCCTGCTGGTGTAGAGGCACCAATCCCTTGGTTTCCAGATTTTTCTCCCAGTAAAAGGAAAGCTTTTAAGGGAAGTAGTTCATCAGGTGATCATGGGAGAGGATCGGTGAAACCTTGGCCATTTGGGTCATCGAAACCTTCTCAGAGTGACAATAAGGTGCCTTCAGTTAGTAGTTCAAGCTTGCCAAACCCAATCAATGCTTCAATTCATCCTCCTGTGCTGGGTCAGCCTTCACCATTCCCACTCATACCACCTCCAGGAGGTTCCAAAAATGAGAACAAATCAGCTGTTTCAAAACTTGGAGGGAGTAATCTAAATCATTCATTCATGCACTCTTCTTTAGGTAGTTTTTCAACCAATGCAAATTCATATCAATCTGGTCCAATGATGCCCCCTTTTGGAGTTGCGCCACCTACCTGGGGACAAGGTACTCTGCCTGGACAGACTACGGGTGTAGCTAGCGGTTCATCTTATCCAGAAGTGTGTTTTGATGATATTGACTCACTGGATGATCCTTTGTTTGTTCAACCTGCTATGTCTTGGTGGAAGCAGCCTTGGGAGTCCATTTCAGTTTTAAATAATCTTAATTCTCATGTAAGTTTTCATGAAAAAAATGATGGATCAGATATCACTCCTCAAGAACTAGCGGACATTAGGAATCAGAAAGCTGTAAATGAGGAAGACATTCTCAAGAAGTTCAAACTTTTTAAAAAGTTTGATACTGTTGAAGATTTTTCAGATCATCACTATAGTAGTAAGGGAGTGAAGCAGGTAACTGGCCTTTCAAGTTGTACTAAGATCTTTTCTTTTCTTTGTTGGATTTTTTATTTAATTCTATAGTCAATAAACCTGTTTCTTGTTTATTCTCTTTTTAACAGCCTGCAAAGAGTTGGGTCAAGAAAATTCAGGATGAGTGGAGGATTCTAGAAAATGATTTGCCTGGTGAATATTTTTTCTTGATCCTTGTTCTATCCTGCAGTTGTTATTTGTTCATATGACGTGGGGTTCTTTATTTGGATTATTCCCTATTTAGAGAATCTGTTGTTCAGTGGATTTTGTGAATGTATATTTATTTTCAATATGGTAGTACTCTGGTTATAATGCCACTGGAAACATTTCTCCAAACTGGTCCATTATGTTTGTTACCTCCAGCTTTCAGATATCATTTTTTACTTAGTCCCTCTCCTACTTGTATTGTTTTGACAGATACCATATTCGTTAGGGTTTGTGAGGCAAGGATGGATCTTCTGAGGGCTGTAATTATTGGAGCAGAGGGTACTCCTTACCATGATGGTCTCTTTTTCTTTGACGTGTTCTTCCCTGCTAGCTACCCTAAAGCACCTCCGGTATGTGATTGAGGTTCATGAACATTTGATACCATACTTCTTTTTGGATTATTGATATTTAATTTTGGACATTTTTGGTCTAATGTCTTGGAAATTGCTTGTTCCAGAATGTTTACTACCACTCTGGTGGACTGAGACTTAATCCAAATCTGTATAATTGTGGTAAAGTATGCCTTAGTCTTCTTAACACCTGGTCTGGTGATAAGAATGAAAAGTGGATCCCTGGTACATCTACCATGCTCCAAGTTCTAGTCTCCATTCAAGCTCTAATCTTGAATCAGAAGCCTTACTTTAATGAGCCTGGTTATGCAAATTTGAGTGGCACACCACAAGGTGAAATGATGTCCCAGCAATATAATGAGAATACGTTTATCTTATCACTAAGGACAATGTTGTACACAATGAGGAGACCACCAAAGGTA